TGTGTGTGTGTGTGTGTGTGTGTCCTTCATGCATTACCACACCGTTTATCCGATTGCCGTGAAACTTTGAGAAGTTGTTTAATATACTCCCGTGAAGGTTTGTGGCGTAGTACGATTGCCATGAAGCTTTGGGAAGTTTTTTAATAAACTCCCGCGAAGGTTTCTGGCCTTTACCCTACGATAGATGGCGCGCGTTTACACGAGCATTCGAGCACAGTGTGTTCAATCGATTTCAAATTGTGAAGACCATTTCCCCCCTCCAAAAAATATCTCTAGATATGCATTTATTATTTACAATATTTGTAATAATTTTTGTTTAATCACTTTATTTCAACTTTTTTTTTTTGCTAATTACGTAATCGCTCGAACTTTGTTAAAGCCTTAACTGTATCATGAACAACAACCAAAGTTGTAGAAGGAAATTCGCCTATTTTACCGATCTAGGGATCCTCCTTTTCCAAATTTTAATATCAACTCAAAATAATTTAAAAAGACTAATTACAATAAAATGGTTTATTATCCAACTATGAGAAATTTCACAACACGCCAAGGAAGAGAGGAAGAAGCAATTAAATAATCAAAATTATGAAGGATTAAAAAATATATATAAAAGTGGGGAATATCGCACTTCTAACAATCCCTGTGAGTATGTGGGCTAAATTTAAAGAATCCGTGCTTCTCGCTTAGACAACTGCATGTGGTTAACTCACGCGTCGGAATACCTTTTGATTTATTTGTGTACGCATCAGACGGAAAAACAAAAAATATCGTGTATCCACAAAGCACTCCAATAAATAAATAAAATTGAAACGACACTTTGAAATGTTTTCCCGATGAAAATGAATAATAATAATAAGTTTCAATGAAAATGATAAAATGTAAATTGAATTTTATCATAATGAGCTTGCTTGAATTTCCTTTCTTCTGAGATCGCAGCAATGCGCGACGGGTAAGCTAGTACAATATAAAAATTGAAGACACCACTGTAACAGTATGAATAGTAAGCATCATCAGTAGGTATTATCTAAAGTAGATGGTATATTAAAAATTATTCAAAGTAAAGGTAAACTTAAACTTATGCCTAAAACTATACAATATAAAGGTGAAGTTTTAAGTTTACCTTTACTTTGTATAATTTTTAATATACCATCTATTTTAGATAAGACCTACTGATGATGCTTACTACTCATACTGTTACAGTGGTGTCTTCAATTTTTATATTGTATAACTTTAGGCTTAGTTTTTAAGTTTACTGTTACCTTGTATAATTCTATTATAGCATTACCTTTAACTAATACAAACTGACGAGGGACTATTTTCTATTGGGAAAATAGTCCAAAATGCATTTTGGGTTTCGTTTTCACACTTATGTAGTAATTTTTTGAGTTTATTAAATTGTTTTCACTTTGATCCCTGAGCATTTGTGCCCATCAGTGGTCTGATAAGCCCTCACTATTATCTGCCTCATGGTTGTGGATAATTTAATTAATATAATTATATCAAGGGCTAGAAGCAACTTTTGTAATAATTTCGTTGTTATTATTATTATTATATCAATTATTAGATTTTTGTTAATTCATTTATGATGATAGATTCATAAGCATAATTAAAAGATTTTAATTGCATTTAATTAATAAACAATCTGTTGTTCAATACATTTTTTTTATTGAAATATTCTACATGAATTCCTATACTATGTTGTTTATGAACAACAGTCTGAACAATATGGCAATTTTTTAATTTGAAAAAAGGAATGTATTGAAATAAGATTCATTTGCACCACTAATATTAATGCTATCTTTTTAAATAGATAATAGATAAACACCTTTAAACAATTGTCAAGAACTGTTTGAAAGTTTTTTTTTTTTCTAAATTAAAATTTTTAAATTTATATTGTATGAACAAAATTTGTTAGAAATTTAAAAATATTTTGGTAAACCATGAAAGTGCCAATTTTTGAATACTTATTGATGATTTGCCATCATTATGCTAAGAATATATGATGTATGAATATATTCTAGTTTGATGAACAGCTTTTTCAGCTTCTGTAAAAGCTGAAAAGCTTTGGTTATCAAACAAAACACTTAAAATTATCTTCTCAATACTGGAAAGAATCACATATACACTTTTAAAAACTTTTAAAGTTCAGTAACCAAATTTTTTATTGTAAAAAAAATTTTTTTTACAAATGTTTTCAACCTTACTTAAGATCTGCCTCAGGTCTTTAAATTAACAATATTCCAAATTGGAATGCACAGAATAACTTAGGAGCTCTCTTGTATGCAAGCTTGGTACCTGTATTGTCAGAAATTTTTTTTAATACAAGGTATGTAATACTGGTTATATTCTATTACCATGAACGGAGTTAGGGTTACATGTTTGACCTCTATTGGAAAACTCCTTGGGTGTTGGAGTTGTATGTTGCTTGCTGGTTGGAGTAGGTGTTGGCTAAATTATATATTATATCTCTTCTATACATATGTTTTATAGCTATGTCCTCCAGATGCTTTAGCTCTATTAAAGTATCTTCCCAATTAGTATGTATAGGCCCATCTTAGAGCACAGAAGGCAGCCACTTCATATGAAAATGGGTCGACATAGTTTGCTGGAATAGTTAATAATAAGTAGCTGTGTTTGTATTATATGCTTGTTTCTATGTGGCCCATGTTCCAGAGAACAAACAGGTTGTCAATGTGTCTCTTGTATACAACAATGTTTGATGTGAATTCAAGTATGACTTTTTTTACAGTTGTCACATAACCAACTTGCATAGGTCACCTGAAAGGAGAACTTCCTGTTTTTGTAAATATGTGCTATTATTAAATTAGAATACCAAGGTATTACATATTAGGAGTGTGAGTTCTAAGATCTGTTTTTGATGAGCATGTGCATCAACTCTCCATAGTAAAAGATCTCTAAGAGCACAGAAGCACGGCTACAGCTTTACTGAGGAGTGTAAGGAAACAAAATCAAATACCTTAATATGCACTATATCTGTTAACTTTATCTGCCGTAAGATATCTATCAGATCAGTGGAATTCTTGATAGTTAACATATAACCTTTCAAATGCTCTGATGTAAAGTTGTGTATTGCATTTTCTAGTAGAGGAGTTGATCTTGCTTTATCCACATTGGATCTAAGGAAAGGTGTTGGTTTATGCGTTTTAATGAAAGCAAGTAATTTAGGGGTGTCTGATTAGGTCACAACCACCCTGCTTAATTTCATCATTAATGGCCAGCCAGGGATGTGTGTGTAAACCTTGTGAGCCTGTAACCTATCTACATAACTGTTGTCCACTGGTTCACAATCTGTGTCATTGATGTATTGATGCATGAGAGATCTTTAAGTATCTTCTTGTAATAGAACAAGAGTTCTGCTTTATTAGCTTTATATGGCGAGGTGTTCATCTGCCAACCATTTCTTGGTTTTATAAAAATTGTGCCAAAAACTGCTATCTTGGGTCTTGCTATTCATGGAACAAATTTTGAAGGCAGCTTGCCATCTATAATAGAGAGGTTGAGGCGCACGTTTTAAACGTGTAAACGTGTACGTGTGACGTTTGGCGCCGCTTTCCCGTAAGCCTAAAAGTTTGACAATGGTGTTTGGATAGTCGGTGGAATCACGCTCGACATTCCAAACACCATCGTCAAACTTTTAGGCTTACGGGAAAGCGGCGCTGAACGTCACACGTACACGTTTACACGTTTAAAACGTGCGCCTCAACCTCTCTAATATTCTTTGTAAACATCTTCATACCAACGATGAGTCTTTTGATATTAGGCATCACATACTCCGGGTAGTTTGGTAGTACCGGGTGCATACATTGGACCATATACCATGGTGTGAATGAGGTAATCTGGGGTGTAAACTTGTCCCAGCAAATTAACAGCGTAATGGATACCACTGCCTTGTTTAGTTTTTTCTTTTGTAATATCCAATTTAATTTTTTGGGCAGGTTTTGTACAAATATTTCTTGAAAAATTATAACCATCTATTCACCTCATATAGTAAACACGGGTTTTGCTTGAATACAACATTTTCCATGTTAATTAATTTTTCGGGTTTAAAATATGTGTCTTTTCTTGATGTTCGAACAGCCTTTCTTAAACATAATTTTCTTAGCCTCGGTAAAAAACACTTAAGAACAATGATTTCGAGCAAATGCAGTCACAATGGACTTTGAAAGATGCTAAACATAAAAATTTGGCATTACATTTCATATTTGTTGAAGTTTTAATTTTTTTTTCTATATATACTTTAATGCTATTAGTTTAAAATCTAGTTTTGCTATACTTTAATTATTCTGTTTAATTTTAGGAAAGATACTTAGTGATGACACTCAAATTAGTGAATATAACATTGATGAAAAGAAGTTTGTTGTCATTATGGTAACCAAAGTAAGTATTAATGTTTGATTTAAGTGATAGTGATTATTTTTATGTATTATGTTACAAATATTGTTAAAAAATGATTATGTTTTGATAACATAATTCTACAAACATCATACTTGATATATTGATATTATTTTATTAGGTGAAAAAAAAAAAATATTAATTTAATAGTACAAGGCACGGGTGACGTGTCACCCTGTATTAAAATAGACTATGAGTTGCTCAGCAGCTGCCTAAACATTTATCTACTGATGCCATGAACGTGTTAAATTTTTAATAAGTCATATTGTNAAGTTAAAATGTATGTTTAAATTTTTTGTAATTTTTCTTAAAAAAATCTGTTTCCCTTTCTCACTAGTTTTTTGTTATATAACAGACACTGAAGATGGTAAAATTCCCTCAAAAAAGACTTAATAAACCTAACTTTTAAGCTTTAGTGTAATATATCTGTTGTTTTTGTTTATAATTTTATTAATATTTTGTTTTATATTTATAAATTTGTAATTGGTTAAATAATTACAGTGAAATGATGTAAAAATGAAAGGAAATTGAAAGTATGAGTATTTGTTTTCTTTACAACAACAGATTGTAGTGATTAAATTTTGAGTATTATTCTGAAAGTCTCTTCCTTTTTACCTATATAAATATACATAATCGGCTTAATATTTTATAATAATTACTTTCTAACATACTTAAATTATATTAATTTATAAAGTTTTTACTTTGATTCTCTAATATTAAGATACCTTTGTCATTTAAAAATATTAGAGAACAGTCCCAAATAGATCACAAAATATGTATTATTACAATATGAAATGTACTTCAAATGTCATAGGTGATCCCATTCCTATTACAAGTGCAATATAAATTTTAATATATCATGTAATATGCAAAATCCATATTTTGACTGTGTACGCATGCATGCATGCATGCATAAACTAATTTTTTTAATAATTGCTTTAATAGTAAAAAAATTTATTATCAAATATCATTTTATTATTCAGTTAAATGTTTTTGACAAAGATCAAATTATTATGATAAAATTGCAGAATTTTTTCTTCAGATTTTTATTCTTTTAATTTTAAAAATTAACTTTTTATTAAATTGCTAATTTTTTAAACATATTGCTTAATTTCAAGTTTTCTACTGGTTTTCTTTAACAATTCTGTAATATTACTTTTATAATGTTTTCAGATATTACTTATCCAATAAATTTCAGAACTGTTGTATAATCATGCATATGTAATAATTTTTTAGACATAAGTGTTTTACATTTTTTAAAATAAAATGTTTCATATCTTTCTCTGTAAGAGGATTTCAGTATGATGAGTACTACATTCCTTTCAAATACTATAATGTTTTTAAAAATACTGTAAAAAATATTCTGTTATTGCTGATCAGTTTTTGACTAATTAGAAAAAATAAAGATAGCATAATTTTTGTTAATATGCTTATTCCTCTTTTTGTATCGTGGATATGTTCCAAAAAACACTATGTAAAATCATGTAAAGTACAGTACATACATCCTGTAGAAAAATGCTTGATAGGATGCACAGCTTCAATGGAATGAAAAAATAAGCAATTTACAAAAGAAACACGAGCCTTTTTATTCTAACATCATTTATCATTAACATTATTTGTACATTTATGCAGTAGAGTGTCTATTATCTGAATGCCGATCAACCAAAACGTCAGTTAACTGAAAGCATTCCAGTCAGACTGTGTCATACTGAATCGAACATTTTTGATACTAGATTAATTTCTAATGATACAATAGCCACTATTATTATTATAAAATTTTTATTAGGCTTAACATCAATGAAAATTCAATGCAAAGTGACATGCAATGGAGAAAAATTTAAATATGGGATATATTAATATACTGTTATTGGGATATACTTATATACTATATTAATAATGTATTTTTTTCATAAATAATCGGTTAACCGACATATCGATTTTCCGAACAGCCCCAGTCCCCAATTGATTTGGATAATTGACGCTCTACTGTATAGTATACACAAGGTAGCAAAGGAAATATAAATCAACATAGAATTCTCTGATGTTTATATAGTATTGTACTGTGCTTAAAAAAGATAAATGAACTCTTGATTTAGAAACATGTAATTTTAAAACCAGTCTTTCAACAAAGAGTTTTTTTTAACAATAACACAATTTTAACAAAGTTAAATTAAAAAATTTTTAAAGCTCACCAGTGGCCAAGTGGATAAAACCACTAAACAGTGGTTGTGGGTTCACACCCCTCCAACAGACTGACCATGTAAAGAGATGTGAATTGAAAAATTTTCAAATAAACTGGTTTTATTTTTTTCACATGAGGGAATTGATGGTGTGAAAAGAGGATTAGTTTTCTTTTGTCAACTGTGTTATTTCAAAATTGCATAAAAAGAGAGATAGGTGTACTTTGACTTATCATAAATAAATACTTATTAAACATTACACTAAACTTTTTAATTTTTAATAGATAAATCAAAATTTTTTAATTTTAAATATCTAAAATGAATATTTTTAGTATATCACAACAACATAATTTATATTTCTTACAGCATTTTTCTTTAGAATTTACCTATAAATAAATGATTGATGATTTTATTTAATTATTTAGCCAAAATTAGGTACAGATTCAGGTGATACTACAAGTCATGAAGCTGCAGCTATACCAACTACTCCAGCAGTTGTTGCTGGAGCACCTCAGTTTTCTACTGCTACTACTTCTAGCACAACTGTAACAGATAATAAAGCTGCTACTTCTGATAGAACAAGTGCAGAATCTAAACCAACTGAAAAAGAAGTAAATACAGAATCAGGCAATAATAGGTAAGCAATACAAAACTTAATCTGTTAAATAATAATAAAATCCAATTATTAAAAAATTTGGATGTTTTGTGTTTTTCACTTTTGGATCTGTATGTAAGTTCAAAAATTACAAAATTCAAATAAGGTTCAGTAAAGTTTATCAATTTTATCATGATAAGAATAAAACATTTTAAAAGTATTTATCATTATTTTAGTTTTTTTTATTTAAACGTAATATTTAAAACTACAAATATAAATACATAAATAAAAATTTATAAATATTTATTGTATTGCAAAAAAAGCAAAGCTTTAAAATTAAAGCAGCTTCTGAAATAAATTTTAAGAAGTAAAATTGTCAAAGTTAATATTTACTGTTTTTTTTTACTTTAAACTAAATTTTTATTTGAATTAAAATTATGATGATGAATTTTACATGTTTTATATCATTTAAAAGCAATTGCTGAAATTATTGATTTTTAATTAATAACTTTAAATCATTTAATCTAATCATAATTTAGTGAATATTGGCAATAATTCATTTTGTGTTAATAAATTATAATGTTTTTTGTAATTGCAATTAATTTTAAATGTAAACATATTATATTGGGTTGTTCGGAAAGTAATTTTGTTTTTTTTACCACTAGACGGATTAGTCGTATTTTTCTCGCCATTTTCATTCTAAATCATATTATCATTATATATTTTGACAGCTATCATTTTAAGGCTTATTTGTAAAAAATTTTGTTTGATTTTGTACAATTGTTTATTTTTTGTCTCATCAAATATGGAAGATCGAAAGCAGCATTTTTGACATACAGTGGTACCTCGATATACGTCTGCTTTAAAATACGTCCTGTTTGGACGAAACAAATTTTGCTCGGTATACGACTTACTTCAATTATGCGTGCCATCTATGAACAAGTAGCACTATCGGTGTATTAGACCAGATTAGACATTCGCAGTGCCACAGTTTATAACTTTGTTAAATTTCTTCTGATTTTAATTTGTAAGTAAAATTTTATTATTTTTATTAATCATGAATTGCAAAAAGGCAAATGAAAAGCAACAGAAANGTGCTACAGTTTATAACTTTGTTAAATTTCTTCTGATTTTAATTTGTAAGTAAAATTTTATTATTTTTATTAATCATGAATTGCAAAAAGGCAAATGAAAAGCAACAGAAAACTAAAAAAAATGACTAGAATCACAATGGAACTGAAAAAAGAAGACTGTTGAGAAATATGAATGTGGCACGCGTGTTTGAGATTTTAACTGTTGCATACCATATTCCGAGAACGACGATATCGACAATCGTGAAAAATAAAGACATTATTAATTAAATCTGCTAACGTTGTGAAAGGGGTTAAATCAATTTCTAAACAGAGATCGAAGACATTAAACCATGTTAAGAAATTGCTTTTGCTTTGGATAACTGAAGAACAGTGTGCTAGAGACAGCATATCAGAAGTAATTATTTGCGAGAAAGCTAAAAAGATACATGCTGATCTCATGAAAAATCAAGCAGGAAAGGGAGGTGTTTAAAGCCAGCCATTTTTTTCATGAGAATGGATTAATCATTTTTACATTACTTCTTATGGGAAAGGTTGGTTTGGTATACGTCCAATTCGGTATAAGTCCAAACATCAGGAACGGATTAAGGTCGTATACCGAGGTTCCACTGTATTTTGCTTTATTATTACCAAAAAAATAAAAATGCGGTTCAAGCAAGAAAAAAATCATGTGACATGTATGGTAGAGATCTGTTGACAGAACAACAGTGCCAAAACTGGTTTACAAAATTTCATTCTCGCAATTTCAGTATTGAAGACGCACCACATTATGGATGGTCAATTGAAGTTAATGAGAACAAAATAAAAGTACTGATTGAAGCAAACTGCAGAATAACAACACGTGAAATTACTAAGAGATTAAATTTGTCAAATTGAACTGTTTATGATTACTTGAAACAAATTGGTTTCATTTCAAAGCTTGATATATGGATTCCACGTGTTCTTAAAGAGAGATGCTCTCTCTTTGGTGGGATTTTAATGAAATTTTTTTTGGAGCTTTTACCAGACAATTTAACAATTGATTCGAAAGTGTACTGCCATCAAGTAAACAAATTGAATATCATCATCAAACAGAAAAGGCGGCCAGAATTGATCAACAAAAAAGGTGTAGTGTTTTTCCACGATAATGTCAAATTTCACACAAGTTTGGTAACTCGTCAGAAACTGTTATAATTTAGATGGAACGTGCTATCACACCAACCATATTTGCCAGATCAAGCACATTCAGATTATTACTTGTTCCAGTCTATACAAATTTTTTTTAACTGTAAGACACTTATTTGAAATGACAATGTCAAAAATCACTTGGATCAGTTTTTTGTAAGCAACGATCAAAACTTTTATGAATATGAAATCATGCTATTACCAGAAACGATGACAACAGGTATTTGAACAAAATGATCAATATATAATTCAATAAAATATTTATTTATTATAAAAATATTGTGTTTTTTTCCATGGAAGAAAAACGAAATTACTTTCCGAACAACCCAATATGTGTTGTATTGAACTGAAACAAATTTTGGAATTTTATTTTATGCTGATTATCAAAATATTTCACAAATTATCATCTGTCACAGGTTAATTAATAGTCTCATAAGCTGTAAGAAATGTTTTGTTATGTTATAGGTGATAAAGTTGATCTAGCTTATGTATACTCTATCATGGTATATTTTTATATAAGTAAAAGTTTTTAATATATTCTTAATGTTTTGGTTACACATAATGTTAAAATATTAGTTTTCCTAATTTCATTTCCTGTTTCTCTAATTGTTTAACTGTTAGTCTAAAAATTGTACAGTATGATCTATTTATTGCAATCATTTAGGACTTGTCTATGTTAATGATAACTGATGAATAACATTAAGTGAAGCTATAATTAATAAAAATTTTTGTTTTATTGATTGACATTAAAAGGCATGTTAAAACAATTTAAAAATGTATAGAAAAGATTATTAATAAATAATAATTAATAATTCATCTAGTGCATAATTGAAATAACAAATGCTTAAAATTTAAATTGTTATATGTGAACAAATAGTGATTTGAAATGGTTAACATTGAATGTTTAAAGCTTTTGTTAACACTAGTGATGATAATTCATGTTAGATTGATTTTTAGCCATATTCGTTGAGGTTGATAATGTAAAAAGCTTAATACATATTTACTTGTAATAACTACAACTGAGACTTTTATAAAATTTCTTATCATAGTCAGTGTATTTTAATATGTTTTGGGGCTTTCTTTATATGAATTTATTCATGGCAATAATAAATTTTGAAAATCTTTTAATTACATAAATCAAGAGAGTTTTTAAAACCATACTTATTGATTACTACTTGCTTGTAGATTTTGATATGATATATGCAGGGTGTCTCAGACCACTTATGTACTCATTTTAAAATGGAATAAAATAAGTTTTTTGAAATGTCCCAAAAATTTTGATAAGTAAATCAAGTATGCTGTATTGAATAGTTTTATCTTGAACATCCTGTACTGACTAGAAATAGGCTACCCACCAACAGTCTATTTTTTTTTAAATAGAACAGGATATTTTTTATTTCAGATTGGTATGAAAGATTAAAAAACGGAAACATTTTGTTTCACATTTTTGTTGAAAATGACTCCACTGACCATAACATAAGCAATATGGGTATATGTTGAGGATTGTATTAATTGGAAATTGGTGTTCAATATGAGCACCATTGTCTGTGATAACAAGCTTCAACTCTGATTGGGAAGGAACTTCATTTTCATCTAAGGATGGAACTGCCTCACCTATCCTAAGAATTATATCATCCTTATAATTAGACATTCACAGTAGACAAAATCTTTTATCTTTCTTCACAAATAATAATCCATAATGGTCAGATCAGGTGATTTGGGTAGATAGTTGATTGGACCATGTTTGATGAACCACTTGTTGGGAAAAATAGTATTCTGTACTTTGTTGGCAACTGTCGTTGTGAGTTGGATATCCATCTTATTGAAACCAAATGTCCAGGCATAATTTCAAAGGAAGATGTTCTAGTGAGATGGAAGATCTGTCTCTAACAGGATTGCATGTGAAATACTACTTAGATTTCCTTCAAGGAAAATAGAACCTATGAAGTTGCCTTTCAATAATGCCACACCAAACATTTACTTTTCTATGTCAATGTGTCCAATAACAACAATTTCAGGTATTACCAGATCAGTCACTTTTAAATGTACTGTACATTCATCAGAAAATACAATGAAAATCAGTTGGTCGTTGTTTAATCCAATTGCAAAAATGCAAGGTTTTGTTGACAGTCATCACAAATCAGTGCTTGGTGCAAGGACATTTTGTAAGAGTGAAACTTTGCATCTATCAAAACATGTCAAATACTGGCATAAATATTATCAAAATCTTTTTCAGAGTCTGATGGAATCATGACAAATTAATTTCTACTAATGTAAGAATATCTACTAATCATCTCTAATTGGTCTTTTTATTTCTGTTATGATGAGGCTGAACATCATCTTCAGTTCTGATTCAGTTAGCCAAATTTGAAAAAAAAATTCTACAAATGAGGAGTATGAGATGGATAATATGCACAACACAATCTTTTGTCTACAGTGAATATACCTAGAAACCCATAATCAACATATTCTATGTCTCTTCATTCAAATAAGATGTTGCTAGATAGATCACTGTCACTGGGGCTGTCCAATCTTTAAATTGCAGTACCTTGCCACTCACTCAGATTAATATCATGAAATTATTTATTTTATTTAGCGTATGGTTACACATCTAATTGTTAACAAGAACAGAAAGCAGAAAAAGTAAGAACACAAATCATAAATGTAAATCTAAGTTAGAAATATAGTTTAAAGCACTTTCAGTCATAATCAGGAAGTCACTCAGTTAAACCTGGAAAAGATCTTACTGGACAATCTTCCAAGATATGATGTATAGTCTGTCTTTCAGCACCACAGTCACACTGTGGGGATGC